GTCATTAAGCTTGCGGCTCTCATAAGCTATGGGGTGTTCTTCCTGCATTAACATGCCCCCAGTAGCGAAGTCTGATGCATCTGTGTGCACCTCATATGGTTTGGAGTGGTCGGGCAAGCTAAGTACCGGCTCCTCTATAACTGCCCTCTTCAAGTCATCAAATGCCCCCTGGCATGACTCTGTCCAACTCCAAGCACGCGCCTTCTTGAGAAGGTCTGTCAATGGGGCTGCTCTCGCCGAGTAACCCTTGATAAAGCGGCGGTAGTAGTTGACAAGCCCAAGAAATGAACGTAACTCTGTCACCTTAGTGGGCGGCTCCCACTCTTGAATGGCCCTCACCTTTGCCTCATCCATCATCAACTTGCCATTCCATATCTTATGCCCTAGGAACAACACCTTCTCTTGGGCAAAGGAGCATTTCTCCATTTTCACATATAGGTCATTCTCCCGTAGGACTTGGAAGACCGCCCTTAAGTGCTGCACATGCTCCTCTAGAGTGGCGCTATACACAACAATATCATCCAAGTACACCACCACAAAGCGATCCAAGTAGGGATGGAAGAGCTTGTTCATCAAAGTACAGAAAGTAGCAGGTGCATTGGTGAGGCCAAACGGCATAACAAGAAACTCATAGGAGCCATACCTCGTCACACACGTAGTCTTAGGCTCATCCCCGTCCGCTATTCGCACCTGGTAGTACCCTGAGCGCAAGTCAAGCTTAGTGAAGTAGCATGCTCCACCAAGCTGATCAAAGAGATCGGCAATGAGAGGAATGGGGTACTTGTTTTTTATAGTCACCTTGTTGAGCGCCCGGTAGTCGATGCACATGTGCAAGGACCCGTCCTTCTTCCTTTGGAACAACACCGGTGCGCCATATGGGGCCTTCGATGGTCGAATATACCCCGCATCTACCAGTTCCTTAAGTTGCCTCCGCAACTCCTCCAACTCTGGGGGTGCCATCCGGTAGGGCACCAAAGCAGGGGGTTTAGAACCCGGTTCCAGCTCAATCTTATGATCCACCTCCCTCCTAGGTGGAAGCTTCTTGGGCAGCTCCTTAGGCATCACGTCCGTGTACTCGTCTAGCACGGCTCGTATCTCCTTACGCACCTCTTCTTGTGGGGAAGGGACTAGCTCATCTTCGGGTGTCTCCAGTAACGTAGCAAGGTAGCTAGTCTCTCCCTTCTTGAAGCCCTTCTTGAACTGCATAGCTGACAAAGCTTGGGCTTCCAACTTGGCGCCTCGCTCCACCGGCACCATGCATGCTGTGTTGCCTTCCATAATACACATAGTGTTAGCAAAAGGAATGGGGAAGGCTCTCACCTTGTCTAAGAACTCAAACCCAAGAACTAGTTTGAAGTCATCCATGGGTACCACCGATAGATCTATGTGGCCACCCCACTCGCCAATGCATGCTTGGACGCCATGTGCCATGCCATGTATAGCCTTTGCTGCCGAGTTAACTGCCTTCATGGAGCCCCCTTCTTTGCTATACTTGAGGCCCAACCTCTTGGCCTCGTCAAGGCTCACAAAGTTGTGGGATGCACCCGTGTCCACCAAAGCACGTGTGGGTGTCCCATTGATGCTCGCCTCCATGAACATTAGCCCTTTAGCCGCCGCCTTAGGGACTTCAGTTTTACCCTTGATGGCATTAAGGATTTGTAGTGAACCTATCTGCGCCTCCTCCTGTTGTTGCTCTTCATAGCGGCTCGTTATGGCATTGAGGGTCTTCCGCTTTGGGCAATCTCGTACCCAATGTGGTCCGTCACATATGAAGTAAGAACCCTTAGGCTTGGGTGCTCCTTCCTTGTTCTCCCTTCCCTCTTTGCCTCCATGGCCACCACCTGGCTTACGGGACCAATCCTTGTGGGGTGCAGCGCCCTTGTCTCCCCCACCTTTGCCGGCATACCTTCCCTTGTCCTTGTCTTTGTCTTTTGGCTTGGACGAGGGTTCCTTCTTGGAGCTGAAATCAATAAAGGACTCCGCCTCTGCAATAGCTGTGGCAAGGTCTTGCACGTTGCGCCGCCTCAACTCCGTCTTAGCCCACAACTGCAATCCATCCATGAAGAAGAAAAGAGAGTCCTTGTCGGATAGATCCGGGATCTCAAGAGTCAAGTTAGTGAATTCCTTCACATAGTCCCGAATCGACCCAACTTGTTTTAGCCTTCGGAGTCTGCCCCTAGCTTCATCCTCGGCATTCTCAGGATAGAAATGCTTCTTAATTTCCCTAGTGAAATCAGCCCAAGTATCAATAGAGACCGTACCTTTGCCTATGTCACCATACTTTTTCCTCCACCAAAGCATGGCATGGTCGGTGAGGTAGTGGGTCGCCGTGCGTATCTTGATGGTCTCATCGGTCATGCCCGTAGCCTCAAAGTATTGCTCCATGCTGAAGAGGAAGTTCTCCAACTCCCTCGCTACCCGGTTCCCACCATAGCACTTAGGCTTGGGAATATCAACCCGGGGTGCTACTACCCCCGTAGTAGCTGTGCCGGACGCCACCGCCCGTTTGCACAATGTCCAATCCGCTCGCATTTCCTCCATTTGCTCGCGGAAAGTGCCAAGCTCCTGATCAACATAACCACGTAGGGTGGCAAACTCCCCCAACATAAGTTCTCGAAGTGCTTGGAGCTCCTGCCGAAAGTCACCACTTAGGGCATTGAGTGACCCTTTGACAGCATTTTGGACCTCAGCATCCTCCGACTCCAGCCCATCCATGCGCTGGTGAGCATCCTCAAGCTGCTCCAACACGTTGGCTATGGACCCCTCCATGTTTGCCACACGTGCCTCTAAGCCCGCCATAATGTCCTTCGACCTAGCCCTCGTCCTCACTCCGCCTGGAGGGGGATTTGTTTCCCTTCCACGTAGAGTCTCCTCTTGGGTGCCAGTCACGTCTGATAGCTCCGCCATAGCTTCCTCCACACAAGGTGTGACTCCTCACGACCTTAGCTCTGATACCAACTGTCACGGACTTGAACCTTTTCAAGCTCCCATGCGGCCTTAGACACTTTCAAGCCCCTTGAAGCGCTAAGTCAGCCTACCGGAGTGTGCTAGCTTAGTGAAGACTAAGGCTAGACAAGTGTTTCGCTTACTTGGGTGTGTAGGAAGAGGTTAGGCAAGTGAGCAAGAGAGTTTGGAAATGTATAGAACTTGTATTGCTTGAGAGGAGAGATTACAACTTGGTTGCTTGGTAAGGTGCAAATGAACTCTCACCTCCTATTTATAGGCCTTTGGCCTTACAAGAACATTCTAGATGTGTACAAATGTGTGGCCTAGATTTAGTATCTAGAATCCTCCAGAAATATCTACACAACACTAGAACTATCTACTATGTACAAGACAAGTCTAGAGAATTCTATACAACTCTAGACAAGTCTAGAAAAGGCTAGACAACTCCACACTAATCTAGAGAATTCCAGAAAGTTCCATACTTGTGTAGAGAAGTTTAGAAAGCTCCAGTCCATGCAGGCTCCATGTCATCGTCTGCTGGGCGTCTGCGTGGCATAGCCTCTTGGTTGCGGGGTGTGACATTAGGCTGCAATCTTTGCGAAATCTCTTGAACAATTTGTTGGACAAACTCAGCCTAATCCCTACGTATTAAGTATAAGGCACGTTAATTCTAGTGCAATAGATGGTATAAAAAGGAGAAATATAAAAAAGTTGAGATAAGTATAGTAATTAGTGTTTTTCATTATAACTTTTATACTGGCAAAAATATTAGTAAATCACCATTTGCTAGAAATAGAATAAAAGTATAAAAATGTTGACATCTGTTTGATAGTTACAAATTAGTAACAGAAGCCATGATATGCATATTCAAACTCTACTCCCCTACTCAAATGTTAAGTTTAATTATCAATAGGGATAGGGGTGACAAAAAGACGAGTTGAGTTGAGTTGGGTTGGGTTAAATATGAATTGTAATTCATATTTAATTCATTTATACTGGTTAAATATGGATTGTGTTAAAACGAGTTGGGTTTACCCATAAAACCCAATAACCCGTTTCTTCTCTATTTCTTTCTTTATTTACTAAAACATTTTGGAAAAAATAAAAAACAATTTTAACTACTATACAAGTGGGTTGAAGGTAAGCAGGTTTACAAAATCCACTTAATCCATATATATTCTACAATCTTTTATTAAAAATTCTTTAAATTTTATACTGTTTTATGAAATTTTAAGTCAAATTAGTATGGGTAGCCCGTTTTACACAAATGCCCGTTTCATACAACCGACCCGTTTTGTATAGCTCTATCCGTTTTGCACAACCCATTTTTTACTTTTTTATAAATTATATATATATAAGTAATTTAGGCTAGACAAAATTCAAAGCAATATATCCAAGTTGGCATGCGCTTACCCATTTATAAAGATCGACCCAGTTAGAAAAATTATATGTTATTATAACCCGACCCATTTAATGCAGCCTGACCCATTTCTGAAATTGAACGGCTCACTATTTCTCTCTCTCATACTAGTCTGGGTTCTTACATACCGAACTACTTTGTCAAAAATATTAGTAAATCACAACTAATAACAGAAGCCATGATATGGAAGGAATTAATTTGTAGTATTTTAGTAGAACTCTGAAATAGAATAGAAGTATAAAAATGTTGACATCTGTTTGATAGTTACTGTAATGATTCGAATTTTTAAGATTTTAAATTTAATTTATTTCATAATTTTTAGTGATCTTATTTAATTTTAAATTGAAGACTCAGTATAGTGGATTTGGATTTGTTGCATTATATATATATATATATATTTTTTGTGTGGCATCTGAAGAGAGCAGCGGCGGCGGATAAAAAAATGAAGATTGGATTTGTGATTTTTGCGGGTCCCATGATAATTGAATTTGGTTTGTTTTATATATAAGAATTTTTACATGGGCCATATTTACCTATATATTAAGTCCAAGTCAAATAATTTTTTTAAAATGTGTTTGACTCCAAAGTTGACGTGGCATATGAAAAAATATTTGTGTTGTCTAAAATACTCTTTTTCATGCCCTTTCCTCGAATAACCCAATTACAAGCCCTAATGCTCTTTGATATCCATTCGGTGCAACCAATCCCATCTAATCCAAGCCCCGCTCTCCCTTTCTCTCTCTCTCTCTCTCTCCTCTCTGCGGAAGTACAACCGAACATTCCTCCTCTTTCTCTCTCTAACGATAATTCATCGGAAAATAATCAGACGGCCAAGATGATGCACATGGCCTTCTACTGGAGCCGAGAGGTGACTCTGTTGTTCGACTCGTGGACGACCGAGTCATGGACGAGTTACGGACTCACCCTCCTCGCTTGCCTCCTCTTCTCCATCTTCTACCAGTACATGGAAGCTCGTCGCCAACAATTTCAGCTCCTTTCCGTCAACAACAAGCCCTCCTCCGCCGCCGCCGCGACGCAGACTGCGATCGACACGCCCCTCCTCTATCCCAAGCTCACGCCGGCCTCCCGGATCTGGAGTCCGGCGAGGTTCGCCGACGCCGTTCTGTTCGGCATCAACTCGGCGATCGGATACCTCCTGACGCTGGCGATCATGTCGTTCAACGGCGGCGTCTTCGTCGTTAAATTGGATCTGTTTATCTCGAATGACCCAGTTTCATTTTTCGATAATTTCATTTCTCTCTATATAATATATATATATTTGTCTCAAGATATGTAAATTGTGGGGATTTGAATCAACACCGAATGGACATGAAAGAGCATCAGGGCTTGCAATTAGGTCATTGTATAAAAGGACATTTTAAGCAATACATAAAATTGAAAAAAATTAATATTTTAGACAAAAATCACTATGTTTTTTCATGGGTCATTTCAACTTTTGAGTCAAACATAATTTAGGAAAATTACTTGAATTTGAATGTATGGGTAAATATGAATTCTTAAATTTATTTATACGTAAAAATCATTTATATATATATTTGAGTTGTAATATATAGATATATATATATAATATGTTTGTCATCTGATGAGATAAAAGGGAGTAGCCGAGAATGGTGAAAAGAAAATGAAATTGTAACGATGGGTGGTGGGATCGGTGGAAGATTTTTTTGGCTAAAGTTTCCTTTGTTTTGGTTCCTTCACGTGGGTTTTGATGGAGTAAGTTGTGCTTTGGTAAGAAAAAGATAGGAAAGGAAATTGAAATAATAATGTAAAATGATGATGTGGGACCACTTAGATTTTTGGTCAAATTTTCTTCTGCGTTTGAATTGTTCACTTGGGTGGTTTGTTTGTCTGATGGAGGCGTAAGTGGTGAGTAGTTGGATTGTGTCAGTGGAGGCCATTATAAATTAAAAGAGTTGCGCACTGAGTGAATACAAAGACACAGGAGAAAAATTAGAGAAGATATGAGAGTGAGTTTGACAGACAGAAAGAGAGAAATAAAGATACAGAGTGAGTTTGCAAATAGAGGGCCTAGAGTTTGAGGATAGAAAGGAGCTAAGTTGCATAGAGGACAAAGGTTTGAAGCTTTGATGATCCAGTGAGAAAATATATTTTTTTCAATGTAGGATTCTCTATACCTTGAATGGCTTGGGGTGATTTTATTTCAATAATTTTGATTAAATGTATATGTATTTTGTTTATATACTCACATGACTATGTACATTTTGTGAAGCTGTTTTGTTAAATCTCCATGAAATTCTTGTTATGGTTTTATTTATTGGGACTTCTCGTCTTACCAGCCTCCAGTTTCAGGTACCGAAGATGAACTGGGATTGCTAGATTCAGGCTTAGGATGAAGAGTCGGTGTTGCAAGATTTATTTTGTTTATTTGGAGAATTTTTTATGTATATTGAGGAAATTGACTTGGTATAAAAGAGAGGGCAAATTTTTTGTGCATTTTGATGTATTTGTATTTAAATAAATCGAAAATTTTATTAGAAAATTTTGGATCGTGTCAAAATGGTATCAGTTTATGGTCGTTACAGTTACAAATTAGGAACTGAAGCCATTATATCCTTTATTCAAAACTCTACTTCCCTGCTCAAATGTTTAGTTTAATTGTGTCAAAATGGATTGGGTCTACTCATAAAACCCAATGACCCGTTTCTTCTCCATTTTTTTCTTTATTTTTTTGAAAAAAAACTTTCTTACGACTTTTTTTAGTCTAATTTCATCTTTATTTACTAAAACATTTGAAAAAAAAAAAAAAAAAACAGTTTTAACTACCATACAAGTGGGTTGAAGGTAAACAGGTTTACAAAATCCACTTAATCCATATATATTGTACATTCTTTTATAAAAAATTCTTTAAATTTTATTCTGTTTTATGATGTTTAGCTCAAACAAAAAAGGAAATAGCAATAAAGTTGAAGTCAGTGATATAATGAGATCGAACATACCCATTTGCTGCATCTTCCAAGTCCAAACCGCTTATATTTGCTGCTTCCTTCAAAGCCTCCCTCCTTCTCTCCGACCTTTCAGTCTCTTGAGAGCAGAATATGTATCTAAATGCTTCCGCAAAACTTCAAAGCAGAATATATATCTAAATGCTTCCGCAAAACTCCTCTTTTGTTTCCGAAGTTGCGAAGGTTTCACATCGTAGAAGATGGGCAAAACTATCTGTCCCTTGGTCCTCCTGCACTCGAGGATCTCCACCAGTTCATCCAAGCACCACCACTAATTAGAGTAGTTTTTAGAGAAAACAACCACTGCAATGTTGGATTTGTTAATATTCTTGAGGAGCTCCAGAGATACGGATTTTCCTCTCTCAAGCTTTTCGTCATCCTTAAAGGTGATGATTCCTCTCTGATCTAGAGCCCTGTAGAGATGGCCTACAAAAGTTCTTTTTTCGACGGCAACAAAAAATCTCTGCAAGTGTCTTCACCTCTAAAGCTCAAGAACACTTCATATTCCCATCCAGGCAGTGAGGAATAAGAAGAAGAAGCAGCAGCAACTGCCATAAGAACCTTGCTAGTGATCTGGAGAACAATGAGGGCTAGTTTGGTGCGGTGAAATGAATTGGAATGGAATAAGAATGGAGGTGAGAATTGAATAATTTTGATGGAATGACCATTCTCCAAGAATAGTGAGGAATGATGATTCTAACTTTAAATTTGACACTAAAAAAAAAAAAAAATCATTTTATTCCTCTTTTTTTTATTTCATTTCACCGCACCAAACTAACTTTGAGTGTCTATGTTATATATAGACGCGAATATGAAATAGTAGAAATTAATAAAACTAAAATCATATTTAAATCATATATAGCCACTTCCTCCTACTGTATACATGATGTATTTCGTTGTGAATTTCCACAAAACTTCCCGTCATTCATGGGTGAGTTGGTGTCCGTAATAAATACACGTATTGACCCCAATAGTAAACTTTTTCAAGAAGTCGGTTCAAAAGCATCCAAGAAGCAAAAACTGCAGCGTGTGATGAACGGTTAAAATATTCAAGCCCCCATGTGAACAAGCAGTCCAAAGCCATTTATGTTGTCTAGTCAATAACCTTTTTAGGTAGTGCCATTCCACCGAAAGCCAGTTCTCTTATTTCAAAGCCATTTATGCTGTATGTGTTGGCACCAAAACTTGGCAGCCATCTCAGTGATGACGTGGACCAATGAAAAGCCGATAAGTATTTTTAACATGGCGTAAAGGGAATCAGCCAGTTAAGAAATATCAGGAGCAAGTATTGGAGAAAGTTATTCAGCCACTTCATTAACAAGGCAGTTGCTAAAATATAGCAACAAACATTTGACTTTATTCAAGTTGGGTTATCAACAGGAAATGAAAGACTAAAGTTTTAAGGAAATCAGACAACTGAATTCCTATTTTATAGGAATTCTAGTTGGATGGAATAAGGAAAAATACAAAAGGCAGCTGCGTCATGAATATAAAAGCGATAAATGGCTTTGGGGCCATTTAAGGGAATGAAACGGGCTGCTAAACTTAAGGAGGGGAGTTGCTAAAAATTAGCAACTTTTCAGCAACTTTCTAGCAACGTTTTAGCAATATCTCGGCAACTTACATGTGATTAAATCGAGGAAGGTTGTTTTTACAGAGATTTCCTACTGAAACAAAACAAGAAAGGAAGCAGAATAACAATAGGATTTGACTGAGTTCAAATTGTGAAGAAAAAGAATCAAAGAAGGAGAGATTTTCTAGCAATAACTTAGGAAAATAAGTTGAGATAGAACTTCTATAAATAAAAGTATTGTATTCCATTTCTAACTCGTCCAGCACCACCACAAAACATGCATTTCAACTAAAAATGTTTTCAATTGACTCTACGTCATTTTTCCTATCAATTTCTTTATTTCAATTTAATGGCAATTGATTAGATCATTGTCAACTATTTCGATTCAGCCATTTACTTTCTTTCAATTTCAATTATGCCAATTTTAATTACGCAATTTTAGTTAGGCTTTCAATTCAATGGCAATTGATTAAATTCTTGCCATTGAATCGTAGTGACAATTGATTAAATTCTTGTCATTACTTGGCTGATGGCAATTGATTAAATTCTTGCTATCACGTTTCAGTGGCGATCGATTAAATTCTTGCCATTGTGTTTGGCTGATGGCGATTGATTAAGTTCTCGCCATCACGTTCGACCGGCGATCGATTAAGTTCTTGCCGCCTGTCTTCACTCGGCCATTCCATCCATTCAAACATTCATCAGCCGTTGCATTTCTTTAGACACTCTAAAAAGTCCTTACTACAAATAAGGCATAAAAGAACCTTGCTGGGAGTTCTTACTAGTCTCTCTCTCACACAATCGCCTGAGAGTCAGCCATCGGAAAAAGGGATAGGCTGGTGTTCAATTACATATTTTGGGTATTTTGTACAAATACTCTGGCACGCCCGCGAAGAGTCCATCGACCGGCGTAGGGAATAAAAATCGCGCGAACACGTTTTGGCACGCCCGGTGGGACCGCTACTAGAGTGTTATAAAAGAGGCAAATATGCCGCGGCCCACAAAAAATTCTAAGGCCGTGGCTACTGATGAAGATTTAGAGGAAGGCGATCAGCCAGTACAGGCTGAGAACTCTGCAGCAGGTCCTACTGATGAGTTAGCCGTACTTCAAGCACAGGTTAGCTCCTTGGTAGATGCAATAGGAAGGATGGGAGCACGCTACAACGACTTGCATGAAAATATGTCCCAACTCTCAGCCTTTATTTTGAACAAACCGACTCAAGCTAGCAGCTCCAACAATCAGGAACCGGTTTCTCAGCCGAATCTATCACAAGCTGTTCGGCCAGAGAGGGCCATTAAAACATCACAGCCATAGCCGCCAGTAGTGACACTCCAACTAGTTACAACATCAAGTCAGCCGGTTCATACGCTACTCACCTGGGCAGAAAGCTATCCTCAGCCTACGTTGGCAGGTTCTAATCAGCCACCAGTAGTAAGTTCGCAGCCACAGGTAATTCTACCAAACCCTCCTCGGATGCCTTTGAACTCGGGGGGCAATCAGATCAGGTGGAGGCCACCGAACCCACTATATACTCATGTGCCGCAACAGGTAGGGCTCGGGGGGGCAGAATATGGCTAATCAGCCACATGATTGGCCGAATTGCTATCAACCAGCGTTTTTAATCAGGTACCACCAATATTAAATCAGCCACCTTAAGTCATGTTAGATAGAAGACAATTAGCTGATTTACTCACAGAAGAATATGGCCTGGAACTTAGAGGTGCCGGCCGACCAATTTATAGAACTCCTTATCCAGAAGTGGTAGACCAAGTTGAGTTCCCTAGAGGATATAAAGTCCCTGACTTTGTAACCTTCAGTGGAGAGGGGAATCAATCGACCGTGGAACACATTGGCCGATTCACAGTTCAATGTGGAGAGGCCAGTGTTAGCCCGTGGTTGAAATTGAGACTTTTTCCTAACTCTTTGACAGGGGCAGCTTTTTCATGGTATATTCGTCTACCTCCTAACTCTGTTTTTAATTGGCCACAGATGGAGGAATTATTCCACAATCAGTTCTACCGTACGGAGACAGAACCTACTCTGGCCGATTTATCCAGGCTAAGTCAATTGCCTAGCGAATCGGTCGAGACATTCATTGCAAGATTCAGGAGAGCAAGATTAAGATGTCGTGTACCTCTTCCAGAACAGGAGTACATTCGTTTGGCTTTGAACGGCCTTGATTTTGAACTTCGGAAGAGGTTTGAAGGAGTTCCATTTCGTGACATGTATGACCTGGCCGAGAAAGCTACCAGGTATGAGTTGGTTCTCAAAGAGGAGAAAGAACGAAAAAATTCCTCTAAAGGTACGTACTATAGGGACCCCAACTATGAAGTTTATTCAACTGATGTGGTTGAAGAGGAAGATTTTGAAGCTAATTTAGCCGAAGTCATTCTAAAGAACCTTATGTATGTGACGCTTTAACAAAACCAAATGTATCCACCAGTGGTACTCAGCCATCGACTTCATCGGCCAGGAAGGGTACGGCTGATACTGGTAAGGTTTATACGTTTGATCTGGCCAAAACAGAACAAATTTTTGATCATTTGTTGGCCGACAAACAAATCGTTTTGCCAAAAGGACACAATATACCATCGACCAATGATTTAAAAGGAAGAGAGTTCTGCAAATTTCATAATTCATGGAATCATACTACTAACAATTGTTATGTATTTAGGAATGTATTGCAGAAATCTATCGATGAAGGTGTATTGAAATTCCCTGAAAAGAAGCCAGATGTAATGGGGGTCGATGGCAATCCATTTCCTAATATTGTCAGTACCAATGTAATTAGCCTGGCAACTGAAAAAGCCGCTGATAATGGTAGACATGAAAGATTACCAAAAGTTCTTGGTAGTTCATCGGCCAGTAATGATGAGCAGAAAGTTAAGGACTTGGAAATTCAGTTAAGAGAAGCTCAAATTGCCCTCATCAACCATGGTTGTTGTCCAAATTGCAAAGGCCGAATGAATGACTCAGACAAGAGGGGCTATTTCCAATCAACCAGAAAGCGCAGTGTCCATGAAAGGTTAGGCCATCAGCCTAGACAGAATCACGAAGAAATCAATCGATCAATATTTAGAGAAAATGGGCCGAGGGCAGTGAGAATCATTCGGTCATCGGTGACCGATAGAGTCCTGCCAGAACAACATTTTTATCCTAGTTTCAAAAGGAAACCAATAATTCAGTCAGAAATATGGGTTCAAAAAGGAGAAGAATCTAGCCGTGTAAGAACGGTTAGACCTCCTTTGGTTGACTATGGCAGATGGACTCGAGTAAGTCACCCAAAGTTTCCTAAGCAGCCTCCTACACGTACCCAAAAAAGGAGGATGCAAAGGAAAAATGCAGAACTCAAAAGGAAAGAAGACAAGATCGATCATGATCAACTAGAAAGGAAAAATGAACAAGTGGTGGCTGAAGACATGGAGGTCGCTACATCCTTTGAGAATAAGGCATGCTTTTATGAAGAAAAAGATGATCAGCCCGACCAGGATCCAAAGCATGCGGCCAAGTACAGAATTCGTTTTGGTTCTCTCCCGGATAAGGTAAATTGTAACATGGTATTTGTTTTGCCTTCTGTGTTTGAAGCAAGGATAGAACCAACGGTGAACAGGGATGTTGAGTCAGCCAAGCAGGAGGAAAAGGCTGAATCTTCATAAATTAAGAACGATTCGACAAGTTCATCGGCCAGGATAGGATTGATCTCTCAGGATCAGCCATCTAAGGCCGATAAAATCATTTTAGAAAAAACCACCTTTGTCCATGACACAGCAGTTGAGGCCGTTGAATGTTAAAGTATGGGTTGAGGGTCAGCCAATCAATAGGGTTTTGGTTGACAATGGTTCGGTGGTGAATGTCATTCCATCAACTACTTTGAAGAAATTGGGTAAAACCATGGATGATGTAGTTCCAACCGACGTGGCCATCAGTGGTTTTAATGGAGGATCTAGTAACACCAAAGGTATTCTACCTTTGGAAATTACTATTGGCGGTAAGACATCCTTTACGGCTTTCTTTATCATTGATTCAACCGCGGCCTTTAATCTCCTTTTAGGCCGAGATTGGATTCATCCTAACATGTGCATCCCATCAACCTTGCATCAAATGTTGATTTTTTGGGATGGAAATGAGGTAAAAATTGTTGAGGCCGATAACAAACCCTTTATAGCTAGAGTGTATTCGGCTGAGGCTGCACTTTATGATGAAACTGTTGTACCTATCAAATTTGTTGGCATTAACAGGATGGGACGACCAGCAGCGGCAACAATGAAGAAGAATTTAATTAATGCTGATATTAAAGAATTATTGTCAGAAGCAGCTCGGCCGAAAATTGATATTTTCAGGTCGACCATCAAGGACATTGAAGATGTTACTGATGGATCACAAAACCAATGAAGAAAAGAAGCGGCAAGCTTTCAGGGCTGCTTGCATCAGACTGAAAGCATATCTGGCTGAGAAGAGACTGGCCAGAGAAGAACAACTATATGAAGAGGTATCGGCCAGCACGGCCGATATAATTAAAGAAGGTTTCGAAAAACTGGATGCAATCCAACTTGAAGATTTGGAGTCAGCCCCTTCCAGGATGGAAGATAATAAAGCAGAGGTGCAAGATCCTTTATTGGAAATAAATGTTGGTACTAAAAAAGATAATCGGCCATTATTTGTTAGTGCTTTGCTTGAGCCTAAATTACAGGCCGATTTGATTAAATTATTAAATGAATATAAGGATTGCTTTGCTTGGAGTTATGAAGAGATGCCTGGCCTGTCTAGAAAATTGGTAGAACATAGATTACCGATCAAGAAAGATTTTCAGCCATATAAACAACCACCAAGAAGGATGTCTTCGGAAGTAATGCTCAAAATTAAAGAAGAAATTGAAAGACTTCTTAAGGCAGGATTTATTCGAACAGTTAGGTATGTTGAATGGTTGTCTAATGTTGTTCCTGTAATGAAGAAGAATGGCAAACTTAGAGTTTGTGTGGATTTTCGCAATTTAAAAAATGCCACTCCAAAAGATGAATATCCAATGCCTGTGGCCGATCAACTTATTGATTCGGCCGCTAAGCATGAAATATTGTCTTTTATGGACGGCCATTCAGGTTATAATCAAATCTATTTAGCCGAGGAGGATGTTCATAAAACGGCTTTTAGATGTCCTGAGTCAATTGGTACTTTTGAGTGGATTGTGATGCCATTTGGCCTAAAAAATGCTGGGGCTACTTATCAAAGGGCAATGAATTCTATCTTTCATGATATGATTGGCCGATTCATGGAAATTTATATAGATGATGTGGTTGTGAAATCATCGGCCAAGAGACACCATTTGGAACACTTGAAAAGGGCCTTTGAAATGATGAGGATTCACAAATTGAAAATGAACCCATTGAAGTGTGCATTTGGAGTTTCAGCCGGGAATTTCTTAGGGTTCTTGGTACATAAACGAGGTATTGAAGTTGATCAGAACAAGGTCAAAGCTATTATAAATGCTAGGGCCCCAGCCAACAAAAAACAAGTGCAAAGGTTCCTCGGCCAGGTAGGTTTTCTTAGAAGATTTATTTCTAACCATGCTGGCCGAGTGCATGTCTTTTCGACTTTAGTGAAATTAAAGTCACATGAGAAATTTCATTGGGACGAATCCCATCAGAAGGCCTTTGACAAAATAAAAGAGTATTTGGCAAACCCCCCGGTTGTAATGCCTCCAAGAAAGAAGTGGTCGTTAAAGCTTTATTTATCGGTCGCAGAAGAATCAATTGGTAGTATGCTCGCACAAGACAATGAACATGGAAAGGAGCAAGCTGTCTACTACCTGAGTAGAGTACTAACTGATGTAGAATGCAGATATTCCTCAATTGAGAAGCTTTGTTTATCTTTGTACTATTTGGCCATGAAGTTGAGAGTATACATGCGGCCTGTTGATGTTTACATTCTTTGTCAGACTAACGTGATCAAGTATATGCTATCAAGGCCATTGATCATTGGCCGAATAGGTAAGTGGGCTTTGGCTTTGATGGAATTCAATTTTATCTACGTCTCACAAAAATCAGTAAAAGGAAGGGTTCTGGCTGATTTTTTGGCCGATCATCCTTCAACTGATATTGATCCATGGGTTTATGATGAATTGGAGTCATCAGCTATATTTTTAACTCATTGGATCTTAATGTTTGATGGATCAAGCACGGCTGATGGAGCAGGAGCAGGTATTGTTATTATTTCGCCAGCTGGCAGAAAGGCTTCATTCTCTTTCTTTTTAGATTTTAAATGTTCAAATAACCAGGCCGAATATGAAGCGCTTATAATCGGCCTGGAGATTTTAATTGAAATGGCTGTTAGAGATGTAAAGATTTTGGGAGATTCAAACTTAGTCCTTAGCCAAATTTCTGAAGATTTTAAGTGCCTAAGTTGGCAATTAAGGCCGTTTCATTCTCTGGCCACTTCATTAATTAATCAATTTGATAATGTTCAACTTAAGTTTTGGCCGAGAGGGCAGAATAAGGAGGCCAACAGCATGGCCCAAGCAGCCTCAGGAATAAGAGTACCAGTCGGAATAGAAGATCAGTTGATAAAGATAACACGAAGATCTTTGCCGTCGGCCGAATTGAGAAATACTATGTTTGATACTTGGACAATTGATGTAGAAGATTTGGCCGACGATGACTGGAGGATACCATTTATAATGTTCCTTCGAAATCCAAACATCAAGGCTGATAGAAGTATTAAAAGAAAAGCGATCAACTTTGTGCTTCTAGATGGGGATCTATACAGAAAAGGGTTAGAAGATGGGCTCTTACTACAATGCATAAGTAAGGAGGAATCACTTCAGGTTATGGCCGAGGTACATGAGGGCCGCTGTGGGGCTCACCAAGCTGGGATTAAAATGAGATGGCTGATTCGCAGGTATGGATATTATTGGCCGAGAATGAGGAAAGATTGCATAGATTACTCAAAAGGTTGTCAAGCTTGTCAAAGACACGGGCCGATTCAAAATGTACCAGCAAAAGAATTACAGCCAATAATCAAACTTTGGCCATTCAGAGGTTGGGGCCTTGACCTTATTGGTAAAATTAATCCACCATCAAGCGAAGGCCATCACTGGGTGATTGTTGCCACAGATTATTTTACTAAATGGGTTGAGGCCAAGGCTTGCAAAGCGGTTGATCAGCAAACAGTGATTAATTTCATGGAATAAAACATCATCCAAAGATTTTGGATTCCAGAAACACTTGTTTCAGACAATGCAACAGTATTTAGGGCAACTGATGTACTACAATTCGGCCACAACATGAATATTCATATGTCAGCCTCTACGCCATATTATGCTCAAGCAAATGGCTAGGCCGAATCTTCAAACAAAATTTTAATAGAGATCATTGAAAAAATGATCAAAGATAAGCCAGAAGGCTGGCTGAATTATAATCAGCCAGAAGGTTGGCCGAATTATAATCAGCCGTTGGTGGTAAATCAAGATCGACCGGTCATTGATTATCTTAATCAGCCAACGACGGTCGATAAGGTTCAGTTGGCTGATCCTATTAAGCAAGAATATGGTAATGGCCTTAAGCGAATATGTCGACCAATGTACAAAAAGCCAAAATCAGCCACATCCGACACTCAAACATCTACCATATCTGCCAAAAAGGGAGCAGATGATGAAGTCATGGAGGTCGACAATGATATTTTCATACCAGGTAGTAATGTGATTGGCCAGGCTCCCAAGGAAAAGTTTGATGAAGGGAATCAGCCTAAGGTTGCTGAGAGCAAACCGTCAGCCACTCCAAGTGCTAAAGTGGTGGAAGAATTAGAAGAATAATTGAAGGAAACACAATCTGCTCTAATTCAACATAGTTGTTGCCTTCAGCGAAAGGTTATTAACCGAGGTAAAATTCAAATTTTTCATAAAATAAAAGTCCAAACTCGGTTTTCTAACAGAAGTGTTCAAGAGAGATTCACTTCTTAACGAAGTAAAAGAATTTCAGGATCAAATCGGCCAGATTACCAGAATGCTTGGCCGAGAGTGGTATATAATCCTCAGCCAGAACCATCATTGGCTGAGAGAATTCTTTTAGCTCGTTATCCTCAACCGAATTTCAAGAAAAGAAAGCGGGGATGGAAACTAAAAAGGGTTAAGTGGAGAAAAAATTCGCGGAAGAAAGTTTAAAAATTCAAGAGGATCAGCCATCAGAAAAGCTCTATACTGGCAGAATGTTGTTCTTTTAATGGAGAAGCCAGTTAGATCGGCCCAAATAATATTACATAACAACTTGATCCCGGCCGATCACGATCATACCTTACTAGTAGAGTTGGGAAACTTCAATGGTGAGGTCTATCATGTTTTGAGAGGTATCAGCCAGCTTTGTGGGAATAATAGAAGAACCAGGATCGGCCAGCCCTGGCTGACGCAAAATAAAGACCAACATAGAGGTGGTTCGGAAGAAATAAAGTCTAGAAGCTCGCTGGCTACCAGTTTCTTTCATGTTATAAAAATTCCAAAAATCTTATCGGCCTGAGTGGCCGATAAGACATTTGAAATTTGAGGGGCATTTGTTGGTACCAAAACTTGGCAGCCATCTCAGCGATGACGTGGACCAATGAAAAGCTGATAAGTATTTTTAACATGGCGTAAAGGGAATCAGCCAGTTAAGAAATATCAGGAGCAAGTATTGGAGAAAGTTATTCAGCCACTTCATTAACAAGGCAGTTGCTAAAATATAGCAACAAACATTTGACTTTATTCAAGTTGGGTTATCAACAGGAAAGGAAAGACTAAAGTTTTAAGGAAATCAGACAACTGAATTCCTATTTTATAGGAATTCTAGTTGGATGGAACAAGGAAAAATACAAAAGGCAGCTGCATCATGAATATAAAAGCGATAAATGGATTTTGGGCCATTTAAGGGAATGAAACGGGCTGCTAAACTTAAGGAGGGGAGTTGCTAAAAATTAGCAACTTTTCAGCAACTTTCTAGCAACGTTTTAGCAATATCTCGGCAACTTACATGTGATTAAATCGAGGAAGGTTGTTTTTACAGAGATTTCCTACTGAAACAAAACAAGAAAGGAAGCAGAATAACAATAGGATTTGACTGAGTTCAAATTGTGAAGAAAAATAATCAAAGAAAGAGAGATTTTCTAGCAATAACTTAAGAAAATAAGTTGAGATAGAACTTCTATAAATAGAAGTATTGTATTCCATTTCTAACTCGTCCAGCACCACCACAAAACATGCATTTCAACTAAAAATGTTTTCAATTGACTCTACGTCATTTTTCCTATCAATTTCTTTATTTCAATTTAATGGCAATTGATTAGATCATTGTCAACTATTTCGATTCAGCCATTTACTTTCTTTCAATTTCAATTATGCGAATTTTAATTACGCAATTTTAGTTAGGCCTTCAATTCAATGGCAATTGATTAAATTCTTGCCATTGAATCGTAGTGACAATTGATTAAATTCTTGTCATTACTTGGCTGATGGCAATTGATTAAATTCTTGCTATCACGTTTCAGTGGCGATCGATTAAATTCTTGCCATTGTGTTTGGCTGATGGCGATTGATTAAGTTCTCGCCATCACGTTCGGCCGGCGATCGATTAAGTTCTTACCGCCTGTCTTCACTCGGCCATTCCATCCATTCAAACATTCATCAGCCGTTGCATTTCTTTAGACACTCTAAAAAGTCCTTGCTACAAACAAGGCATAAAAGAACCTTGCTGGGAGTTCTTACTAGTTTCTCTCTCACACAATCGCCTGAGAGTCAGCCATCGGAAAAAGGGATAGGCTGGTGTTCAATTACATATTTTGGGTATTTTGTACAAATACTCTGGCACGCCCACGAAGAGTCCATCGACCGGCGTAGGGAACAAAAACCGCGCGAACAGTATGGTATTAAAGTACTATTTCATATTTTAAGAATCGTCTCACTTTAATTTGTGAGTCACAATTTCTTAAAAGTAACATTTTTTATAAAACAGAGAGAGTAATAATGTACTTAATTTATAATTACTTTATTTATTTTATTTTTACAATGAACCACTATAATAATCAATTTTAAGAATCAAATAGAATTTATGTAACATTTTTTTGGATTTAAAATTATTATTTACTTAGTTTATAAGAGGATGGAAACATTTACGCTAATTTTATTTATTTTGTTTGAATTTAGTCATGTTTTATTTTAATTATTTTACTATAACAGATTTATTTATTTACTTCTTTATTTATTTTTGTCCTAAAAATTAATTCTCACACTGTACTTAGGGAGACTTCACCCTTTACCTTTTGTCTTGAAATGAGAGAAAGTACTACTACGTCACGTACTTTACACTAATAGACATTTTATTATATATAATATATATATATACATATATATATATATATATATGTGTGTGTGTGTGTGTGTTAAAGTAATAGACAGTATGATGACGAAAATAATTCAAGTTTAATTATAAAAATTTATATAAAAATAGATTCAATCAAATTTGTACTTATTTGAACATGCACTTTTTTGGCAATTATTTTACTCATGTAATATATTACACAGAAACAAACATACATGATATGAGATAGCTATGATTTCCTAACATTTCCTCACCACAGTAAAGGATAAAAATTCATATTGAGATTTTTCACAATGAAATCTAGTGATAAATCCTAAAATTATTATGATGATAGAAAGTTTGAGAGTTTAAAGTCATCGTATGAAAATTAATAAAAGAGAAAGTAATAAAGTATTATCGGTGCATTTTTTTACCCCAACATGGCTTTTGTACTGGTCACAGTGATACATACTACAGTTAATGTTTAAGCAATTTTCTATGTCGGTAAAAGTTGGGCTCTACAAGAAAAAGTAGACCACAAAGTTCTAAAATTTTCATTCTTATTATCATTGCATTCGAATAATTACAAAAGTGTGAACTAGGAAAGTAATGAAAAATGCTTCCATCACTTCTTTGAAACGCCATATGGTACTACTGTCAGTGACATTGACCCCACACGAAAATGATGATGTACAAGCAATTTCCCACATCGATCCTAAGTGGCCGTTAGTGAATACGGGAATAATGATATGAAAGACTAGTACTATTATTTATTTAATTTTTTTTTTTTAAAAAAAGTGAATTACTTTCCACAATATATTCAACTTTCTAAAAACTAGAGATGCAAAAAAAAATTGGGACCGACCTTTTTGAATCGTGCCCTTAACAAGCATCTTTCTAACATTAATGGTCGTTTGGATTAAAATTTATTTATTTTTATAATTTTTTCATTATATTATAATTACTGATTAATTATTTAGTATGCTTATTTCATTTTGCTTTATATTTTGACTAAATGCTCAACAATTATGTTGAATTTATTATATTATTTTTATATTGTGCATGGGATGGATGACAATTTATTAGTTTTTTTTAAAATAAAATAAAAAAATTTATTATTGATATGAAATTGTGACATATAAAAAGTTAGTAAAACATGTAGAGCTGAATTTCAAGTATGTACCCATTTATATATATAATCTTTTATTAAATAAATTATATGAAAAGTTTTGACATATATATATAATTTATTTAATAAAACTTTTCATATAATTTATTTAATAAAAGATTAATTGATACTCATACTTATTCAAACCGGTACTTTTTCATAATTTTTATTATTTTTTCATAATTATTTTATTGTGTAATGGCTCTATATCTTTTTGGCTTTCCGCGTGGGGCCAAGTAATGTAGTGGGGTTGGGCACCACCATTAAATTTTTTAATAATTCTACTTTTATCCCCACTTCAATCTTTTGCTCCCTCGCTTTTTTACTTCACCATTAAAATTTTCAGTGTTTAAATTCTCCCTATGGAATAAAGGGAAAAGAAAACAAATGTTTAAAGTTTTTATCTCGTGGTTGGCATCTTTTTACTGGGAACAGATCCTCTGAGGTTTACCCATAAAAAAAAAAAAAAAAAAAAAAAAACACTTTCTCGTCTCTTCCTTCTCTATCCTATATATAACACACACACACATATATATATACACACAAGGCTAGAACAAACCCAATTTGCTCCTTTTCTTGATCCGCCATTGACAACTCTCTCTCTCAAACCTCCTCTTTCTTTTTTTATTTCTATGTCGCTCCAGAAAGTTGTGTATCTCATCGAATTAGGTTTAGAAGAATCTATTGAAAAGTGGCGAACAA